GGGGCTTTGTCCCTGAAGGACTATTGTTTTCGTTATGCGATTTTGCGTTGAATCACTATAAATGTCCGTTTCATTTTTCAAACTGTTGCCACCAAATGTTAGAGTCCTGAATAAATAAGAAATTAATAATAGAAATTAAATAGTAAAAAATCTGCATAAATGTATGTATATTTCTTGCATTGTGATAAAACAACGGTACCTTGGGCCATCGAATTTTGAATTGACGTATTCCTCCTACGAATATGGGCATGTAGAAGACCAAATTTGAAATTTAAAATTTGTTTTATTATCGATTCTTATTTTGTAAACCTTTAACGAATTTTTGATTAACAAACTCAAGGATTTCAAAGCGAGCAATGGCAACGTTGCACAGAAAAAAACAACGCGTGAGTCTCTGTATCGGAAATTCTAAAGATATGCTCAACTTAAAACTATCTTGCGATACGGCTGTTGAACTGAATTTTATGGTTTAAGTACGAAAAACGTGATATTTAATAAATAAATATAACAGATAAAATGGTAAAAAAACGCCCCCTTTGGACGTTATTTAAAATCTGAGACTTTGCAGATTTTTTTTTTTTTTTTTTTTTTTAGTCCAAAGGGACTTGAGTCCCGAAGGACTATTGCTTTCGTTTTGGCATTTTGCGTCGGACTCATAAATGTCGGTTCATTTTTCAAACTGTTGCCACAAAATGTTAGAGTCCTGCATTATATTTGAAGAAATTAAATAATGAAAAATCTGCATAAATGTATGTATATTTTTCGTATTGTGATAAAACAACGGTACATAGAACAATCGAATTTTGAATGACGTAATCCTACTACGAATATGGGCATCTGGAATCCCAAATTTGAAATTTGGAATTTGTTTTATTATCGATTTCATATTTTGTAAAATTTTAACGAATTTTTGAGTAACAAACTCAACTATTTAAAAGCGAGCAATGGCAACGTTGTGCAGAAAAAACATTTTTATCTCCAGCGCGTGAGTCTCTGTATCGGAAATTCTAAAGATATGCTCGTTTTAAAACTATTTTGCGATATTGCTGTTGCACTGGATCTTATGGTTTAAGTGCGAAGAACATGATATTTAATAAAAAAAGGTAACACACAAAATGTTAAAAAACGCCCCTTTGGACGTAATTTAAAATCTGAAACATTTCAGATTTTTTTTTTTTTTTTACTGTGGCTGAAAGATTATTTTTCTAAAGCAATGAAACTGCATCTGGATATTAATAACGCATTTTAACACTTGGATACTTATAATCATGTGAAAATGCTTTCAGCGTATCAAATGAACAATATTATTAACTATAGAAAGTTACACATTAGTAAATCACAAAGATAACACTGAATGACATAAATTAAAAACATCAGATTTGAATTATCTCAATTTTTTTAACCAACTCCTTAAGTAGTATGGTTTCATAGTGGTGTAAAATACCTAAAAATTCCAGAATTCAAAAATAAATAGTTCAGGCAATAATAATGGACATGGACCGAAAGACCAAAAAGGTAAGTTTGGCAATATTTATAAAATTTTTTATTTTAACTTAAAAATAGCATCACATGTATATTCCTGTCGTTTAAAATGTGCTTCTAATATAAAGTACGTGTGTATGTCTAGCGAATGAGAAAATGAATAATCGTAAAAACGTTTCCAAACATGATCTATATTTAATTATTAGTCCCATCTGTTTCTGGCCCACATCTTAGAAATATTGCTTTCATTTGATTCACTCGTTATCGAATAAATGATAGATAATTTCCGAAGATTTTATCTGCAGTCTGTTACTTTAAAATGCTGCCTCGTAGCTGAGTGACACGGCGTTGACTGCCGTAGCGATGAGCCAGGGTTCAAACCCCAGAGAAGGCATGGATGTCTGTAAGTGTGTAGCGTCTCTCCAGCAAATTGTTACTCAAGATACACTGTGAGCCGAAAGTCCTCTCGAGATATTGATGGTGTGGAAGTTTAGCAGTCAGCTATCGGCGGGGGGCGGAAGCGGAAATCAATCTTGAAATTCCTATTTTAAAGTAACAGGGTATAGCTTTCTACTAGCGTGTTTTGCATATTAAATATTATCTGTTACATTATTAATGATGATGAATTATGACGTATATATTTTAGAGCATGGAAATTTATTTGAAAATATTGATATTAAGTGTTTATTTAAAGCTGCCAGATATTAAGAATATTTTATATAATTGCTTGATATAACATTTATGAAACCTTCAGCCAAGTTTTAATTTGGATTTCACTTTTTGCGGTAAGCTTACTAGTAAATTTTAATTGGGATTTTATAATTCTTTAGGCATATTTATTTATTTATTTCAGCGTACATAAAATCCCCATGTACTACAAACATAGAACTCAGAGCTCATGAAAGCACGTAGTTTAAACGTAACTTGCATTAATAAGGCAAAAACCAGAAAACAGCAGTCTTCGCATAAGCAGGTAGGTTCACTGGTCAAATTACACATAGCCTTTTCAAATAATTCTGTGAGTCTTATGCATAAAAACTCTTTGTGATTTATATTTCCAATTCTGAAGTTACCTTTAGTTGAGATGAAGGTGATTACTACCTGGCGTCCGCCAAAAACATCGCGACAAAAACAATACAAATTAAAACAACGCAGAGAAAACAACACAAGGCGAAAACGTCGTAGCACAAAACGTCGTGGGAGAAAAGAACGCCAAGAGAAAACGTCGCAGTTCCAAGACACCGCGATACAAAATATTCTGATAAAAATAAAGCGGTTCAAAAACTTCGCAGTTTAAAAAGGTCATTGTCGAAAATATCGTACTAAAAAATAAAGTACCTGCAAATTATCGCATGACGATAACATCGCACACATGCAAAATAAGAGCATTTTTCGCATAATGATTTAGGAGCGCAAGAAGGAAAGAGGAATTATTTTTACTTCTATATTTCCTATTTTTGAATGAACTAATAACATTTTGCTTAAAAAGTAAGTAGGAAACTTAAGCATTTAAAAAATGAAAAGGAAATTAATGCAGTTTGCAATACTTAATTTCAAATTTACGTAGATAATTACAAATTTTATTAATTTTTTCTAAAGTTTTACTGATAATTTTCATGAAAAATACAGTCTAAAAATGTTTAGCAAAGAAGATAAATAACTGCATAGGGTTACCTCTATACAAATTGCTAAGTTAATTATCAAATTATTTTCTTTCACGTTTATTAATCTGTTATTGGTTTAATGAAAATTATATATTATTTTGTTTCCGTTTATTAGTAAAGTGTCGTTAGCATTTTCACTCTCTTTCCTCCTTGCGATACCAAATCATTATGCGAAAATTCATTTACAACTTTTAAAACCTGAAAAGAGCATGTGTGCTATGTTATCGTCATGCGATGATTTTTAGGTACCACGATATTTTCGACGACGGTGTTTATAAACTGAGAAATTTTTGAACCGCTTTATTTTCGATTACGATACTATTTTGTACCACGATGTTTTAGAACTGCGACGTTTTCTCTTTGCTTTCTTTTCTCCCACGATGTTTTGCACCCCGACATTTTCGCCTTGCGTTGTTTTCTTCGCGGCGTTTTCGTCTGCGATGTTTCTACCGCGATGTTTTCGGCTTACTTCCTAGAGACTAGTTAAGTATATAGTAAATCTTTGTGATTTATATTTCCAATTTTGAAGTAACGTTTAGTTGAGATGAAGTTGATAACTACCTAAAGACTATTTAATGTATGTAGATTAGGACAAATTAAGTTTCGGTAAAATGAATAATTTCGTATAAGATCTTTTGTTATAAGAGGAGTCTAAATACCGCTTTTTCTAGCTATATTCGCACCTTTTTTACTAATTTTTGCGTCCGAAAATCGAGACGGGAAAATTAAGCGAATAAATTAATTAATAAGGACGGATTAACAGTAAGATCATAACAAGAGAAGCAGTTATAGACAAACTACAGGTAACTATCAAAATATTACATATTTAAAAAAAAAAAATTACATTTCAATAAGAATACATTGCAACATAACCATTGCCATATCTAATAAAATATCTTTTTTTTAACTTCCTTGTAACTAGAATTCGCGTTTTTAATGTTCTCTCTGCTACTTCTTAGGTCTCAAACCATTTATAAATATTTGGAGAAGGTGAATGTGCAGCTGAGTCGACGAAATCACAGAGTTAATGTCAGTTTGTGTTTGCTTTGCTTTGATGAGTCACCATTATAGTTCACCATTGAGAAAGGATAGCTTTCGGCGTGACCTTCGCAGGTAGTTTATGAGGGTTTTGTTTTGTTTGTAAGACGAAAATAATCACTACGGGGACAAATCAATTTTAAAATTTAGGGAAACTCCATCTCTGAATGCATTGAGAAAGGGAAAAATTGCTAGAATACTTTTTAAATTTTCAGAACCCTGCGCTAGGAAATTAAGGGGGAATACGGGAGGAAATTTATGACAAAATTTTAGATCAAAAAGTAATATGTAAAACATAAAATTATTTTTCCACATATTAGTTTATGTCTCATTTTTCTTTTAAAATTTTATAAAATATGAGACTTGTTATTTAAAAATAACTAACGTTTCGACGTTTTATGTAACTATAGTTTTCTTTTGAAATCTTTGCAGAAACATTACACAGTTAATGAATAATTTTGTTTGTATCAATTATTTCGTAATAAATATTCGTATGCTAAATTCATGCGCTAGCTATTGCAAACAAATTTTCGATAACCTTGAAAGATAAAAACAGCGTAATTCTTTTCCGAAAAATTTCGAAGTCATTGTTTTTCCTGATCTCTAACTAACGCCAGTTCGGTGCAAGCCTGAATCAGACTTTTTTATGATTACTTGCAATCTTAAATCATGGCTGCCTTTGTTAGAATGATTTTGTAATGATATTTTGCAGAGTTACAAATTGCTTGGAATTTTTAATACTATTTCGATCTCTTGAACTAGCTCAGTAATGAGCAAATTTAAAAATGAAGACAACAATAAAAGATCATGAACATGTTCACATTCAAAATATATGATTTATTTCTACTTATGTACAATCTAATATATATACATTTCATATTTCATTGTCACATTTATCATCTACGTTATAAAAATCACATAATCATTTGCATTTAAACATCTTATTGGCTGTTATTGTAAATCTTATTGACTAGGTATTTCAAATCTGTAATCTGATAAATATGACATTATTCTATATATGTAAAACATAAAAGCTCAAACTGGTATGCAGATAGTTTCTTTTTTTGAATATGCGTTGCTGTTTGAAAGGAGAAATGGATATTCCTATTTGACGAAGGGTTTTTGTTTTCGTTATGGCAATCTAACGTACATCAACGAAGAATAAAATCTAAATGATCTATTCTATTGGAAAGATATTTTAAGTAAAGGACAGTTTTTGTGATTATGCAACGTACGGGAAAAGCACATATAGCCTAGAAATAAAGAAGGTAAATTTTCGGCAAAGTTATTTTGAAATAGCTAAAAACTTAGGCCTTGAAAAATTTTTCATTTGACCTTGAACTCTATGACTTTGACCTTGAGATTTGTTCACTTGTCCTTGAAATCTGTGACTTTCATCTTGAGATTTGTTCATTTATCCTTGAAATTTAAACATTTTGAATTAAGTATATATATATATTATTGTGGGAACATTCTTCAACATGAACAAATATAATATTCTTTAAGTAAAATTTATATGCGTTGTAATTTAAGTTAGGTTATATTGAAAAAAAAAGAGAATTATGGCGAATGTTTTGTGCAAAAATACACCACTGAGCTTTCATAATTGGCACATTTCTCCTGTTTGATTAGAAAGGGAGTTTTGCTTCAGCTAATTAATTTAACTGCTGGCGTTTAAAAATGTTTTACTTTAAAAATTAAGAATAAAATTTGTTTTACAAGTAAGAAAAAAAAATTACATTTGTTTATGAGCACAACGACGAAATTAATAGCTATAAGTAACACCGATATAAACTGTTCTCGTGGAAAAGGAGAAAATGAAATATATGTAGAAAAAGAAAACGTTATGAGAAAGGTACGTTTATCAAGGGGAGTGTTAAATTATTATTTTCTGACAAAATAACTTCATTAAAAACCAATGAATAACAGCTTTAAATTAATGTTCTTTCGTACTCATAAAATATACTAATGCATTAGCATACGAAGTATTCTGAAACGAAATTTGAGTAACTTCATTTTGTATGCAGGCAGTTAGAGTAATTAAAATTAATATTTTTCTTCTAATAAAATCAGTCATGAGTGTTTAACCAGATCACAGATCAGAACTGCTATTAGGCTTTTAGCTTAAATTCAATACTCTACTTAAAATGGCATAATATGGCTTCTGGGATATCCCTCGATAGCTGGATAAACGACACGCCTCATAACAGGTTGAGAAGAAGCTCCGTATAAGTGTTGGAATGGTGCAGGATGGTGGATAATGTATCTAGTGGTACCCGATCCATGATGTCCATGATGTTCATGGTGCTCGTGGTGCCCATGATGTACGGGAACAGGAATGTGGATGTGGTGCTCTTCGTGCTTGTGGTGGTGTCTAAGCAGCTTGGCGAGTAAACCTGCAGCCAGCAGAACTGCTATACCTTGGTCATTATTACCTCCATGATGACCACATTCGACAATCGGCAATAGAACTTGACAAGAGAAGAGAACCACAGCCAGGAAGATAGCACTGTACTTGGTTGAGAACATGATGAAAAGGAAGAGCACTAAAAGAACGAAAACAATAAATACATAGTAAGAGAACTTTATCTTATATATCTCTTAATGACGTTTTATGAAGAACAAAATAAGTTTTATTAACAATTTATATTATGCTCTGAGTGACTGAAAACTTTTAAGACAAAAATAACTCTCTGAAAGAACATGTAAAACTGCAGTCTATGATATCATAAACTGATCACAATATTATGTTCTTTTATGCTCCTTCTTTCAGTTGATTACTATAATTCTTTGCTTATGACCATTATCGTGTTTCTTTAAATATAACTATATAAAAATTACTTTACTTAGTAACTTTTGTTGACATTATTCGACGAGATCTTGTGATGAGCAAATTACTTTTCATAATACATTTTTCAGGAAAGATTTCTATAACGTTTTAAACAGTAACAAAGAAATTAATTGATTTGCTGGAATTTTAAATCGATGGATCCAAAATAAAGTTATGGCATCAAACATCAAAGTAATGTCGTTGAGCAAGTTCTTACTTGCCTCCCTCTCACCAATAGATCAGTGGTAAAGTCACTGAAAATTGGTATTTTGACCTGGGTTCGAATCCCAGCGAACGCACTGACTGCATGGAATGCTTTCGTGATTTACCCCATGCGTAACGTGAATATGAGCCAGTTTACCATAGAATATCCTCCACGAAGGCATTTTTTAGCCGGATATTCTTCGAAACCTTATCGATAATCCAACAAACTTGCAAACTGCTTGCCTACCACCTTTCATGTGCATACGATATTTTATAGCAGGCTTTATGTCCTTTTTTTATGCATAGGGCCTTAATTTTAAAACAAGCACTTTGTGACATATGACTTATTTAAGAAACAAGTCCAGGGCTGTGTTATTTTTTAATTATCGCTTGAATTCTTAATTATTTTACTCTGTTTCAAAGTACTAATTATTACAGTACTTATTTGCTGTACCGTATTATGCAGTGTCTAATATTCGAAACCTGTTTTAAATTAGAATTTAGGTACCGTATTGTACTTTTTATGTAGCTTGTATTATCTAAATGCATGATTTTCTGCAAAAATGGCAAAATTTAAAATGATAAAAATATTTCTGACAATATGTTATGTAAAATTAATAACGAAACCATCAGTAAAGTTTTGTTTTTCAGGACGAAATAAATATATATTTAACTGTGTTCATTATTTACTTCTGCTTTTTTATTTGTATTTTTTTGGAAATGTAAAAATAACACAAGTAGTATAATAATGTAGCACGTATTAGCGCATCCGAATTTTTTCTGACAAATCATGTAATGAGAAAAGGGAAGGTCCTTAGGATTTGAAAGAATTACTGTTTGGGGAAAACATTTGCAGAGGATTAAGGGGACCTCGATTCGGTCTTTTGGCGACGCTTCTTTTTCCAGGTTCCTTTCTTGTTATTCAAAAGAATGTGCATTTTTCGCCCTTAAATAGTCTTGGAATTTTTTAAACAGGTGAGATTAGAAAGCAAATCTGCCACGACATAAAATCTTTAAAGAAAAATGGCTGCGATATTTTGCAGACATGAATTTCAAAATATTCGTAAGATAACTTTCGTTACAGTTCGAAAATATATTATCAGGGGAGCAAGGCGAAATTTACGTAACCTGGTTTTCAAAATTCATTTGTCAATTTGGGTAAAATATGATTTATTTATTTTCAAAATTTACATATTGTGCGTGTAATGGCAAACAAATTTTAAATGATACACAATATATTTTTCCATACTTGTGTGTGTGTGTTATAAATGCTATGATATCTTTCATTGAAATCATATAATTAGAATGGCCATCTACGTAAGAGGATATTAAATATTTTTTGTCTGCTCTGCCTTCCATTTAGTGACCGCTTTCATATTTAAGGAAGATGAAAGTCGCCCTTCCATTCGGAATTTGCCGTCCGTGTCCGTAACGCTAGAAGGTTACATGTCATGAGTATAAACATTAATTTAAGCATAATTATTTATATTTTAGGCTGAGAGACGTTAAAATGCAGAATAACGGCTAAGGTGGCGAAAAGTAATCGCTAAAATATCGTATAATAATTAATGTTTCGAGAAGAATCTTCAAAGCGGCATTTATTATATCTTAATACTTCTATTGATGCACACATCATTACATATATTATGAATATGAGACCAAGAACTTGTCCATTAATAAATTAAAGGATGCTATTAGGGTATGATAAACGAATTCTATTCCTAAATTGTTTTCTTCAGTATTTAAAAAACTATATGAACAAAAGAGGACATATTTAATATATGTTTTATCGAATTTAGAAATTTTAAAATAAATGCTCATTACTTTAAAACAGTTAAAATTTATTATGAAACATTTTACAGTATTCATCATGTTTACTTTCGCCCCTGTTGTAAATAATTTTTATCTAATCGTTGCTCTGCTTTTGCAACACGCTTTCGAGTGGTTGTCCATAGAATTTGGTCTTTCAACTGTTTTAATACTTGTGTTCAATTAAAATATGTTATCGTGTCATTATTAGATGTTTAGGTAAGGATATTTCATTATTATACGTATACAATCTGATTTGTATATAATAGGAGTAGTTGAATTTATTAAAGATATATTTTCTTTTAAAAAATTAAACTTTTCATTCCACTTTGGCGCCATTTGACTATCGGCCAGTAAACACATCAGTAAACACATTTGAATATTTTCTAATAGTTAAGAAAATGGTTAGCAGTGAGTTTAATTAATATTAATATATTTCACATGTAAAAAGACGCCTTTGTAAACTAAAATTTCTTGATATTGCTTATTTTTGGAAGTTACTTCTCTTTCTCTTAAAGTATTTGAACAAATTAACAGAAGAACTCAACCTTTTGAAAAGAAAGAATTCCAAGCAATGCTATTCATACTCTATTTAAATTTTCGTTTCAGAATTTTATAGGCTTATTTTTAAAAATAAGCCTATAATTACGCAAAAAAAAAAAAAAAAAAAAAAAAAAAAATAATGCTGATGCTAAAATGTATTTTGAAACCGCATTTGCGAATGCGAAATGAAATGTTTCATCTAGTTCTTGGTTAGCTGGGAAACATATCTTTACGAGATTTGTATAATGACAAGTAAATACTGATTTAAATTTAGTCAGAAAGATTTTACTTTTTTAGAAAATACGAACGTGTTTTACTGCTAGATTTTAAGAATAAATTATAGAAATAATTAATATCGTTTACTAAATATAGCAAACATTTCCTGTTACATCATCATAAGCTTTAACATCTATTTTTAAAACATAACTTGCGTTATTATAATATAGTTTAAAATTTTCTTTTACAGTAGGGGCCAAATATTTTTGCATTCATTTCCAGTTAACAATTCATATTTGTCTGGTTATTAATATTCAAATAATGTGTATTAAAAGGGTTTCGAACATGTAACATAGTTGCGAGAGCAAGTAAGAGTGACCTATAAGGTGAGTCATTTTTAATTTTGTTATCTGCAGTATAACTAGTGCTTTACAATGAGTCGAAATCTGTTGATATTTGCCTTTAAACAACATATTTTACCTGATAAAGTTTTCGTGCCGTAACATGCAATGAGTTATGATAGTGATCCAAAGAAAACAATGATAAATGAACTTAAGCAAATTAAGTAAATGAAGGGGTAAATAAATCGTATAAAAAGCAATTGTTGGTGTAACAAGAAAACAAATTACGTTACACATCCTTTGAGCAGCAGCTATTAAATGGAATAATATAAGTTTTAATTTCTAGTTTTATATTAATATATGAAATTAAATTTGGATGAAATATCTTTACTGATTTGAACTGTACATGCGTTTTTTATATAAGTGACAAAAATGTGAGAAAATCAAGGTGTGAATAAATAGCAGCAGTAAGTTGTTTTTCTTCGGACAGCATTGTTGTTTTTAAGAGCTAAATATTTTGCTTCTGAACGCAACTCTCCGTATTACACTTAACAACAAAAGGCTTACAGATGTAACATGAAATGAAATTAGAACTCTAAAATATTACCTCATTTAATTTTATGAAGTTAGATTTCTAAAGACTGATGTAGGAGAAGGGGTAAAGAGAAAACAAGGAAAATGTCATCCATGGGTGAATGCCGGATAACAGATTGAGTTCGCTGCGGTCCATTGACTTTTGGCACAGCATATATCCTATTCCCACGCATCGACTAAAACCTAACACAGAACGAATTCCTGCTATGAAATCTATATTCCTGGTAGGAATTAAGTTGTACCCTAAAATTTGCTATCAAATTTAGTTACTGATACCTGATATCTAATAATATGATATTACTTATCTTATTATCTAACTGATAAATACTGCTGCAGGCTCTGTTTTACTTTTCCTTCTTTCTTTTCTAGGTTCACCAGTCAAAGGCTTAAAAAAGTACATTCCTATTCACTATGCAGCAGAAGCACTGGGTGTTTTATATCTTTCTAATGTATTATATCATATTCAGTTCTGTTATCAGCAGGATTGCTAGTTTCAGTTTTTCTCAAAAACTGTGGATCTTATTCCATTCAATTGTAGAGACAGTAGGTACTGTTTAGAAGCGGGAGACTTGGTAAATGAGCAATGTCTTAGCCTGGAATCGAACCCCGAACCTCTGGAATACGCGCCCAGCGCGCAGACCACCACACCACGAAGGCGGGAGAAATACCTTATGCAATGATATGTAATTCTGAAACGGATTACAAATGTAGCTGTGTAAAATGTATATATTTAAGTAACGTGGTGTTTTGCTTAGCTGTATACAAATGTTTAACACGAGCTATCAGAAAGGGAAAGTTTGTATCTACTGATATCTGGAATTCACAGAAATTTCTACTGTATTCTATATGTATAAGACTTTCTTGTATAAGACAAATCAAAACTCATGTTTACACGATCAATCCTATAAAGGCTGTTCGCACATATTTTAGACGATTTTCATTGTATTTATAGAAATATTTCATCTAAACTTTTGTGTTTTTATACGTTCCATTTCATACCCTTTACTCT